TGTGTGTGTGTGTGTGTGTGTGTGTGTGTGTGTGTGTCTGCTCAAGAATGCAGATACCCATGGAAGCCAGAAGAGGGCATCAAATCCCTTGGAACTGGGGTTTCAGGCAGCTGGGAGCAGCCTGAGGTGAGGGGGGGTTTGGCGGATGCACCTAGCTCCTCTGCAAGAGGCTCCTAACCCCTGGGCCATCTCTCCAGCTCCCGGTTGTACATATGTACATATTTGCACCCGGCCCGGTTGCCCCTAGTGACGGAGCCCGCGTCCTCTGTTCCTTTTACCTTCTGGGCAGGACAGATACTGGCTGCGGTCCTTTTCCAGTTGATCGAGGCAGCTGGAAACAGCCTTGACTTTGGAGAGAAGGTGATCTGAGGGGAGACAGGAAGTCAGCACACGAGTTCCCACAATTTGTTCTACATAAGCAGCGGGGTGGGCGGGATGACCCCCTGAGAGTCCCTGCCTCATCGGCTTTTTCTCACAAAGGAGGGCTGCTGGCTGTGTGCTTGTGCTCATGTGATGTACATCATCTATTTGCTTTTCTTTCTTTTGAGACAGGGTCTCACGGTAATCCAGGCTGGCCTTGAACTCACTATGTGGTCAAGGATGACCTTGAACTTCTGATCTTCCTGCCTCCTTCCCCAAAGTTTTGGGATTACAGGCATGTACCATCAGACCTAGTATCCATGGTACTACAACTAGAACCCAGGGCTTCGTGCATGCTAGGCAAGGACTCTACTAACTGAGCCATGTCCCCAGCCCTCCAGAACTATTTCTCAGTTCACTATTGTCTCAGGGTACTGCTCACTAGAGGGGTATGGCACACTATAAGGTGCGAACCTCAAGTCTCTCTCTCTCTCTCTCTCTTGGTTTTTCGAGACAGGGATTCCCTGTGTAAGCTTTGTGCCTATCCTGGATCTTACTCTGTAGACCAGGCTGGCCTCGAACTCACAGATATCTGCCTGCCTCTGCCTCCCGAGTGCTGGGATTAAAGGCGTGCGCCACCACCGCCCGGCCTCAAGTGTCTCTTAAAAGCTCATGATATTATTATTATTAATTATTATTATTATTTATTATATTGAGACAGGGTCTCACTAAATAGTTCTAGAACTCACAAAGATCCTCCTGCCTCTGCTTCCCAAGCATAAGTCCACGTTCCAATGCTTGGTTTCCCAGTTTCGTGCTATTTGGGGAGGCTATGGAAATGTAGGAGATGGAGCTGATTTGGGGGGAGCAGGTCACAGGGGGCAGATTTTGGGAATCGGTTCTTCCTGCCTATTCCCTGTCTTGCTCTCCGCTCACGGTCCACCATGTTATGAATAGCCTCCACCACATGTTCCTACAGCCACGAAGAGAGCTGCCCTTCCACGCCTTCCTCATCACTGTGGACCGGAACCTTCTGAAACAGGCCCAAACGAATCTTTCCTCCCTTAAGTCATTTCTGCCATGTGTTACGGTCAGGGCGACACAGTGACAACCAGGACACTGGCTGAGGCAGTGTGTGCCTCACCTGCCTGGCCAAGAAGTCACAACCACGCAGGCAGGATGCCGCATTTTCCGACCTAACTGACTTAGGATGGGGAGAGGGGGCAAGCCTCAGAGGCTCCAGCATGCGGCTGGATTCAACCCCAACAGGAAGTACCAGGCAGTTGGGCCCAGCAGGTGGGCATCTGGGAGACTACCTGTGGACCCCGCGCAGCTGATGAGGGCAGGCTCTTCAAGCTGGCTCAGTGCCTCCTGTATCTCACGCTCCGCAGCCTTCCTGGTCCCTGCCAAGAGTCTTTTCCTCTGGTCCTTTACCTGCTGGCACATGGACTCCTAGAAAAAGGTCATGGAGATGAGAGTCGGTCAGGCACACTACAATGAACCCCAAAGCAGCATCCACCTGGGACCACACTGGAATTCCTGGCCTCTTGTGGGGGTGCTAATGAGATCGAAGCTGGTCAGCTCCACACAGAAAACAATACTTGACTTTGGTCCACTCCCAGGGTGGCACTCAGATGACTCCCTAAGGAGTGCTAACTTGTCATCTTGATTAAGACAAGCCTGGATTAATAAAGCATACCTCGGGCTGTGTCTATCAGAGTATTTCTAGAGGTAATTAAAACCCAGCATGGGTCCTCTGGAAGAGCAGCAAGTATTGGGCCTCTGAGCCATCTCTCCAGCCCATATTTATTAGGCAGGGACTCGTATCTCAAGCTGGCCTCAAACTCGGTATTAGGGAGCTGAGGGTAACTGGAACTCCTGATCCTCCGGTCTCCACATCCTGAGTGCTGGGATTACAGGTGTCAGCCTGCATACTAACTCAGCTGATGTGGTCTGGAGACTGAACTCAGCGTCCAGTGCATGATGGACAAACGCACTGCCCACTGAGGCACAGCCCTGGCCCACACACTCTTCTTCTTATACAAAAAGACACACTTGGCTTTAGAAACTATGTTCACAGAAAGCCTTCGCCATCAGCCACAATGGCCTTGAACCCTTCACTGCACACCTGTCTCTGGCTTCCACGGTGTTCCAGGGGATGTCTGTTACTTGCCTGGGCACTGGCCAGTTTGATCTGGGTGCTTTCCAGCTGGTCTCGGAGGGTTGAGAACTCTTCCTCTCTCTGAGCAGCGGCAGCTGCCAAGCTGCCCTTTTCCTTCTCCAGTTCGGCGATCTGGGTCAGCCACTTCGATTCTGACTGCAGAGGTCACCATGTGGAAACAGGGAGAAACTGAGGAAATTAAATGGTCCCCTCACTGGGCCTCCAGATCCACCTCCTGGCTCTGAAGGGCAGGGGGTGGTAGCCTGTCTACGTGCCTATCACTGCCTCGAAGAGTACGTGTGGATTACAGTGGGAGCCGAGGGGCTCTCGGGAGGGACCCAGGCACCAGGGCGGAGCGGGGAGTGACTCACCTGTGCAGAGGTTTCCAGATTCCCGTGGAGGACCTGCAGCTCTTGTCTGCTGGTGGCTAGTTCATGCTTCAGGTTCTCAAGAACATCCTGTTGCTCTTGAGTCTGAAACGGAGGCAAAACAGGAACGCTGTGAGCTGGAGAGTCATGAGAAGGGATGCACATATGTATAAACTTCCCAAGCCATTGATTGAGACTGTGCACTCCACTGGGTTGAAGGGCAGGCTGGAAGGTAACAACCCAGACCTCACCAACAACTTTTCTTTTCCAATAGTAATTTGGAAGATTAGTTTACCAGTCATAAAAAGTCATGACTGACATATATATATGTCATATTTATAAATATATATAAATATATATTATGTATTTAAATAGCCCAGGCTGGCCTTGAACTTGCTATATACCCAAGGATGACCCTGGACTTCTGATCCTCCTGCCTCCACCTTCCTGGGATTACAGATGTGCACCACCATGCCTGGTTTATGCGGTGCTGGGGATGGAACCCAGGGCCTCCTAGGAGAGCATGCTTGGTAAGCACTCTACCAACTGAGTGACACACCCAGTCCCCAGCATCTGCTCTTCTGAGCGGCTTCCAAGGGCCCTCTGGAAACTCCTCATGGAGCATATGATGAAGTTCTCTGATCCATGCCTGCCTCAAAGCCCCTTGGCAGGGATTGAGGGGATGAATGAGTGGCTCAAGGTGATTGCTGCTGATCTAGATGATCTGAGTTCAATCCCCCAGATGCACATGGTGCGAGACGCGAACCTAAACCCACAAGTTGTCCTCTGATTTCAACACCCATGCTGCTATATGTACACACACACATAAAACACTAGGAAAAGTCCACTTCCAGTAGACACCTCTCTCCTACATCCCAAGTGCCTCTCCTGCTCACCTTGCGCTGGGCCTGGTCACTTACACGTGCAAAGGAATCTTCTAGTTCTTTTTTCTCTCTTTCCAAATCCACCTGGGCTTGCCTGGCCACGGACACCTGTTTGGTCACCTCTGCATTCTGAAAGGGGAGAGGAGCATCTTGAGCTGACATCTCTCAGGCTCAACGTACATCTTTCTTCTAGTACCAGTGATTTCAATCAGACGTGAGTATCAAGGAGGCAGACACAGGAGAAGATTTTCCCTAACCCAAAGGAAGCCAGAATCAGGCCACGACCTTCAGATGTTAGACTGTCAGGGATTTACAAAAATACATAGATGTCTGGTGTAGTGTTTTTTCCCAGGCTAGCCTCAGACTCACGGCAATCCTCCTGCCTCTGCTTCCTAAGTTTGGAGATTGCAAGTGTGAGATAGCATACCTACTTATTTATTTTTTGAGTTAGGATCTTACTATTTAGTCCTGGCTGCCCTGGAGTGCTGGGTTTAAAGTCATGTGCCACCACACCTGACTATTTTCTGGGGGGGCAGGCTCTTGCCTCTGTTTTCTGATAGAATTACAGGTGTCTTCCACTATGCCCAGCTCAAAGGAGGGGTAACTCGAACTGTGGCTGGCACGCAAGACAGAGCTCAAGAAGCTGGGGTTAAGACACGGGGGTGCAAGAGCCGGAGAGATGGGTAAGTGCTTAAGAGCCCTCGCTGCTCTTTCAAAGGACCCAGGTTTGGTTCCCAGCACCCATGCTGGGTGGCTCACAATTGCCTGTGATTTCAGCTTCAGAGGATCTGATGCCCTCTTCTGGCCTCCTCAAGCAACTGCATACACACATGCACATCCAAATCCACACAGACACACAGAGGAGGAATAAATAAATAGAAGCGCATCTTGGAGGAACCCCAAGGTCTGCACTCTTTCTCCTGTAATGTGGGGTTTACGGCAGGACTAGAGGGGTCTGAGTTCCTACCTTCCGCAGCAGGTCGGCATGGTTCTGAACCAGCTCGCTATACTTCTCTTTTAGCTTGCTATACCGCTGTTCATTGGCTTGGGCCTTTCCTGCATTGGGAAAGACCAAGGTGAGGCCTCTGCCCAGGATGGGATCCCCGCATCCTCCCTCCAGTAAGCTGGGGGCACTAAGGATGTTTTTATTCCTTATTTATTTTGATTGACTTTCTTTCTTTCTTTCTTTCTTTCTTTCTTTCTTTCTTTCTTTCTTTCTTTCTTTCTTTCTTTCTTTCTTTCTTTCTTTCTTTCACAGTGTTTCTCTGTGTAACAGCTCAGGCTGTCCTAGAACTCACTCTGTAGACCAGGCTGGCCTTGAACTTACAGTGATCCATCTGCTTCTGCCTCCCTAGTGCTGTTTTTTTTTTTTTCAAAGACACGGTCTCATGTAGGCTGGCCTCAAACTGGCTATGTAGCTAACATGACTTCAAACCTCTGGTCCTCCTGAATGCTGGGACTACAGGTGTCCACCACCACACTCAGCTAGAAGTTATCTAATTAATTTGGGGTTTTTATTGGGAGAGAAGGTCTTGCTACATTGCCCAAGTTAGCCTTATGGTCATCCTCCTGCCTTATCCCCCAGAGTTCTGGAATTACAGGTAAATATCTGTACTATACTGGACATAAAGTTTGTCTTCTTTGAATAAACATCCCCCTGATTCAAATTGTTTTGCAGACTGATATCTACAAACACAGTGTGGTAATTTGAAAGAAAATGGCCTCCAAAGGGAGTGGCACTATTAGTATTAGGTGTGGCCTTGTTGGAGGATGTGTGTCACTGTGGGGGTGGGCTCTGAGGTCTCCTGTGGCTATGCCCAGTGAGATAGACCACTTCCTGTTGCCTGCAAGTCAAGGTATATTAACCCTCAACCTCTGCTCCAGCACCATGTCTGCCTGCACTCCGCCGTGTCCCACCGTGATGATAACGGACTGAACCTCTGAACCGTAAGCCATCCCCACCCCCACCCCCACCCCCCCAGTTAAAAAAATGTTTTCCCCGAGTCGCCCTGGTCATGGTGTCTCTTCACAGCAATAGAAACCCTAGCTAAGAGTCACAGCATCCACGTCAGCCAGGCTTTAAGGTTCATGTTTAAGGTTTGCCCCCTTAGGTCTCGGTCCTCTCTTAGAAGTTCCCTCTCCCGGGATAAACGCTCCCATCATCCCCGTGTCTTTGGTTGCTACGGCCCGGCTGGGTCACCGAACCCGTCTCTGCATCTGAGGCCAAGGGCAAGCACCTCAGGCTTTACTTGTGGGGAGTCGCACCGACCGGCCTCGGCCCCGCCCACACCCCCAGCCCCAGCCCCTCACTTTCTATCTCGGTCAGGCTGCGCTGCGCCTTCTCCGTGTCCTCCCGCTGCCTCTTGAGCTCGTCCAGCTCGGCGCGCAGGAACTCGCAGTCATCCGTCGCCCGCTGCCCGAGGTGCTGCTGCTCGGCCAGCTCGGCCTCCAGCTCACTCACGCGGCCCTTCAGCTGCAGCATGGCCCGCTGGCTCTGTCAGGGGCACCCGGGGTAAGGGGCCTGCTCCTGTGAGGCTGCCCCATGGGGGCACCCGGCAGGACGGGGACGACTTACGCCCTGGTGGCATTGACCCATTGTGGTTGATCTCTGTATCTTCAAACTTCCTGACCACAGATCCAACCAAACAGACAGAGAACATTTTTTTTGTTTGGTTTTGTTTCAGTGCTCTGGGTAGGGAGCCTAGGGTCTTATTCATGTTAGGTCAGTAGCTGTACTGCTGAGCCACACCCCAGCCTCTCACTGGGGATTCTAGGCAGGGGCTCTACCACTGAGCCACACCCCAGCCCCTCACTGGGGGATTCTAGGCAGGGGCTCTACCACTGAGCCACACCCCAGCCCCTCACTGGGGGATTCTAGGCAGGGGCTCTACCACTCAACCCCTCCCCCCACTGCCATCTCCAATCCTTTACTGAGGGATTCTAGGCAAGGCCTCCACCAATGAGCCATGCCTCCTGCCCCTTCCTGTTAGCCCAATTCTCAACAAGGGAACCACACTTCTAGGCCATCACTGGTGAATTTTAAGCAGACACTCTCTGGCTGAGGCACATTGTCCACTCCTTACTGAGGAATTCTAGGCAGGTGCTCTACCACTCCAAGCTCTGCACTGAGAGATTTAGACAAGTCATCGATCATTGAGCCATACAGCCCCAGCTCCCAAATCAAGCTTTCTCAAGGACCTTATGAGAAAAATTGGTCGTTCTCATCATGGTCTGAAGGCCAAGCCATAATCATGGCTCCCAGGGAAGCTGGTCCGCAGCTTAATTGCCACCCTAAAGTCACATGACAGGACAATGAATTCTAATTGAGACTTGGAGATGACCAAATTCACTGGCTTTGTCATGTCTTAGGACAGGGTCCAAATCATATCATGAGACACCAATGTCAGTGCCACGTGTCGGGGAAGCCCAAGGGTAGACGGATCCTAGCACGCACCTCTGCCTTCATGCTGTCCAGCTGTCCTGTCAGCCCGCTGATCTCTCTGTACAAGCGTTCAATCAACTGGTCCCTGAGAAGAGAAGAGCAGGCCCGGAGTCAGCACACCCCACCCCTCCCCTCCATGTACGCCGACAGACTGGAAAAGGAGGGGGAGGCTGGTGTTAATTTGGGGCCATTCTCTTAAACAAAAACTTTTCTTGTTACCAGATGTCAAGTGGAGGATGTTTCTCTCTCCCTCTTCCCCTCCCCGTGTGCTAGAATCAGACCATGTGCTACTTTATCTGGTTTATGGGGTACTGGGGTGTCTCTGCATGCGAGGCAGGCACTCTACAAATGAAGCCACATCACTAGCCCCATGGATAATAATGATTCTTTGCAGTATAAATTTTACACTCAACTTTTCTCATCTGCGGGTTCTATATCTGTGCATTCAACAGACTGGGAATGGAAAATACTGGGCGAGAAAAAAAAAAACTGCATCTAGATCGACTATGTATTTTTACGTATTTTATATGGATTTTTGTTTTTGTTATTATTCCCTAAACACTACAGGAAAACAGCGGCTCTGAGCTGGCCCAGAGGGTGAAGATGCCCGCCGTCAAGCCTGACCATCTTTGTTAACCCCCTGGGTCCCATATGGTGGAAGGAAGGAATTGATTCCTGCAAGCTGTCCTCTGAGGTGGACACTAATGCCACAGTGCTCATGCACCCGTTCCCTCCCAGCACAAAATTAAAGGCGTATAAAAAGAAAAACAATCCGGGCGGTGGTGGCGCACGCCTTTAATCCCAGCACTCGGGAGGCAGAGGCAGGGGGATCTCTGTGAGTTTGAGGCCAGCCTGGGCTACCAAGTGAGTTCCAGGAAAGGCGCAAAGCTACACAGAGAAACCCTGTCTCGAAAAACCAAAAAA